GAAAAAAAATTCCGGGAAAAATTTCGTGGCGAGTGACGATTACTCATGCTTGCTCTCTTTCTTATTGTTATTCTTGTAGTAATCATCTTTCGTCCTTTTATGGGTTTCCGACGTACTGAAACGTAAAAAACGGAAAAATCCTTAAAAATGCGAAAAAAACGGAAAAATTCGGCAGAAATTTCTGATACCAACGATTAGAAAAAAATATTTTCGCGGATCAATTTTTTCGTAATGAACGAGTGAAATTTCCTGGCGGGAAAAAACTAGATTTTGTGAAATTTACTATATTGGAGTTTCAGCTGCGATATGAACAACACTACGAGATGATAAAAAAGTTTGAAATTTTTCCACCCGTTTTCCGCGAGTTGAATGGTAGAATATATTTCCCATTTTTACATCCAAAAAAATCACAATTTTACCGTAAAAAACTCTGCAAAAAAATCACAATTTTCCCGTAAACTCTGCAAAAAAATCACAATTTCCCCGTAAAAATCTCTACAAAAAACACAATTTCCCCGTGAAAATCTCTGCAAAAAAATCACAATTTTCCCGTAAAAATCTCTACAAAAAACACAATTTCCCCGTGAAAATCTCTGCAAAAAAATCACAATTTTCCCGGAAAAATCTCTGAAAAAAAATCACAATTTTCCCGGAAAAATCTCGGCAAAAAATCACAATTTTCCCGGAAAAATCTCTGCAAAAAATCACAATTTTTTCGTTTTAATGCCCAACTTACTCGCAGTGTTTCTCCGCTTCTACCAAATCGGAGAATTGTTCCCAACAGAAACAACAATACGGAAGATCAGCAACTGCACGATCGCCTGAAAATACAAAATCGATCACGCGATCGATATCTAAAATGTACATTTTGTCACTAAAACTCGAGTGAATTTTTTCATGAAAAACGTGGAGTTTTTTCGCCGAATAACGGTAGTTTCACAACTACCCGTTTTCCGTGAAGTGGCGACGCGATTTTCAACGCGGTGATATGTAGTAGTCGTGAAATATATTTTTCATATCACTAGGGTCAAGAAACTCCAATATCGAATTAACAGTTTTTCCGCTACCAGCAATTCCGGAAATTTTTAGAAATGGTAGAGCGATCTCCGGAAAATATTAAAATTTTTTAATGATGATATTTTATAATAAAATCTCACCGTTTCTCGCGCCGAATGCCGTCTGACTTTTCACAATCCATAAATGTCACCAAATCAGAATTCTGGAAATTCGTGAAAAATTCCACAATTTTCCCCCTTGAAAAATTTCGGAAAATTCCATAAATTTCCCACAATTTTTCAAAAAATCGAAAATCTCACTAGTCGTCAAGTCGAAGGTCGCCATCCTTCCACAATCCAAATATTTTATGCTAAAACTGTCACTAAATCAGAGGAAAATAATTAATTTCACGAAAAATTTATTGGAAAATTACATAAATTTTCCAAAATAAATCACAAATCTTACCACAAATTTTATACCTAAATCAGAAAAAAATGATTTTCTTTGAGAAAATTTCCGAAAAACTCCATTAATTTACCAAAATCTCACCATTTCTCAAATCAAATGTCGTCTGTCCTTTAACAATACCATTCAGCGCCAGTCTATTCGGATAAGGCTCCTCAATCGTCGTAACCATCACTCGAACAAATTCCCTACGCACGAATATAAAATTTTCCCGGAAAAAAATTTTGTGTATTTTTACATAAATCAGAAAAACAAAATTTTGCAAGTGGTCGTGAAAATGATTTTTTTCAATTTTCATATCACCGCGTTTTACGCCACTTCACGTAAAACGGGTTGTGAAATTCCAATATTTATGCGATATAGGTTTTCTGAAAAATTTCCGGGAAAAAATCACAATTTTTCCTCACAATTTTCGTCACATTAACTGAGCTTCATCCAACATAAATATACAAATATTCACAAATCGATCACGTGATCGATTATGCTCAATCGATGTGTAGTGTAAAAGGGAAATCATCGCAACTCTAACAATGAGTAATCCAAAGGTCCCCGGTTCTATTCCCAGTGAGAACACTTTTAACCCAAACCCAACCATACACATCATCAACATGTAAATGAATGACTATCAAAACTTCACCAAACCCACTAGATAATCGATCACCAGGGCGCGCGCTTTTAACAAAAATCCAACATTACTCAATACATACCATCAATACCTGTACATATAAATAAATACTCATCAACGACCTGATAAAAGTATTATAATCGATCACCAGGGCGAGCGCTTTTCTACCTCCAACCAAACCAACAGCCAGTCAACATCATTCAAACCTACAACCCAAATCGATCACCAGGGCGCGCGCTTTTCCCCCACACCACCCTCACCTTGCAGTTTACTTCCTGTATGCGTCGATGAAAGAATTATATTTTTCCATGTGTGATTTATTCCGATCTCTAGAAGTCGCAAAACGCTGAAAATAAAATACATCAGTTTCTTGACCCTAGTGATATGAAAAACATATTTCACGACTACTACAAATCACCGCGTTGAATATCG